CATAAAAATAATAATATAATATAATAATAATAAATGTAATTCAATAATATAATCAAACCAAAAACACTGAAATTTGAAATAGAGCGCCACAAATCATTATCACTCAATTCTGCAAGTAGTTCTAATTTACTATCGCTGTTCTCTAGCTGGTCAAAACTGCTGTTGACCTAAAGGGACACTTTTTGGACGCCATGGACATTTCTCAGTTTCCAGGCAGAAAGAACAGTAAAAATGCAGGCAGGGCACAGGACAAAGCACTCGGGACAAAATGTATGTGAAATGGTTTGATACAGTAATGTTTTACTATGTGATTTTAGTGTATTTAGTGAATGTCACTTTTTGTCATTTTCAAATTTCCTGCCAGTTCCATCCCCCGTACATCCCGACGTCGCAGGGGACGGAACCCAGAAGACAGATGCCGGCATCCGCCGGAGCACATTGCCAGGGACACTGCAGGAGGGACATCACGGGAGCACAGGACAAGGTAAGAGAAGAACAGAACCCGGAGCAGCGCCGCATGGTAAGCCCGAGTGTAGCTCGGGGTTACCGCTTGTGGTACTGAAACTTTACCCCGAGCTACACTTGGGAATACCACCAGGGAGGTTAAGGTTGCCTTTCTTTGCCTTAAACCTATGCTCTTCCCAAGAAGGGCAAAGAAACAAAATCTCTTGATTGCCGTAAGCTGGCCATACATGGTTCAAAATTTGGTCAGTCCAACAGGGACCAGCTGAATTTCAATTATATGGGCAGGGTGGTTGTATAGAAGTCGATCTACCAGTGTGAATGATTCTGTGGATACAAAAACTGGAAGCTGATTGGTTTCTATGCAGAGCTGCACCAGATTTAGCACTCTCCAGCTTTAGTAAATCAACCCTATTACTCTTCTATATTCTAATGCTTGAAAATTCCTTGCTTTTTTTTTACCCAATAGCAGCTGTATAAGTATCTTAACTAGATATTAACACTAATATTTCATAGGAATACGGCATTTACCTAAATCAGTGAAATAAACACATAAAGACATAAAGTCCCTGACCACAAAATTACCATGAGCCATAATATGAAATTGCATGGATAAATAAATTAGAATATAATTTTATATGAATCATTTAATATATAAATCATTACACTGCAGTTAAAAGTCCATAAACTGCATTAGTGTCCATTTATTATACCAAGCGTAAAAATGTGCAAATCTCTGCTCTCAGTGGTATAAAGTGCTAGTGCTTCACAACCTCCACCTTCTCTTATTAAAAAGAAGGTCAAAAAGTGTTGAATAATGATTATAGCTAGACAGGGATGCAAAAGATTTCTTGGCTCCATAAATATTTCCTCCTGGTCCTGCGAGAAAAGCACTGAGAAATGAGGCTCATAGTGCAGCAATGTACTATCTTTATTAACACAAATCATACTTACAAGGCAAGTGCTCAGCCCGGTATTCAGGAATAATAATACAATGTGGATTGAGCGCCACACTACTGCAAGAAGCTGCAATCTCAGGTGTCAGTGCGTGCAGACCACTCACACGTATGTGGCGGAGTAACAGTACTTGGCCCCATCAAAAACGTTTCATCACACCGAATATCATTGGGAGCAGACATAACACTGTATTCTCATAGTAGCATATATCGAAAAATTAACCCAATCTGTACAACATTTTGCAGAGATGCAAAGAACTTTCACCTAATTGTATTCACATCCCTCTAGTGGCCATAAACTATATTGCACTTTATCCTTGTCACCCTTAGGCTCCATGTACACGGGACGTTTGGAAAACACTTCTGAACGATGGAAGCTGACTGATGGAAAACGTAGGTTAAAAAATGTCTGTTTAGCCGTGTTTGTATACCGCGTTTATGAGCATTTGCATTTAGAAGCAATTAGATAACCTCAGGAGACCTTCCAAAATGCCCAGAATGCACTGAAAAAAAGTAAAAAAATAACTATTTCAGACATTTTGAGAGAAATAGAGAGAGCAGAAGCAGAAAGAGAGCAGTATGTGTTGAGATGACCTGTCTTTTCTGGTTGTATTCACTATGGATCCCGTCATGAGCATAATGCGGCACGTTCTACCATTTTTTCCTTCACGCAAAACCTGGAACTGACTTCACTGGTGTACCGGGTCTATTTGAATACATGGAAAATGCTTTGCATGGATTTCTGATGATGAAAAAAGGCTCTGGACAGCATCTTGACATGGAACTGTTAAAAAGGCTTCTAAACGTAAACGCTTATAAACGCGGTTAGCTGCGTTTACACACATTTACAAGTGTTTATAAGCATTTGGCATTTGAAACAATAAAATCTACTCCTGAACGCAAGTTTTGTGCGTTAAAAAAAAACGACTGTAAACTCGACTGCCTGTAAATGACTGTAAATGATGATGTGTGCATGGACACATAGGAAAACATTAGGGAGTGTTCAGGGGATGCTAAAAAATGCAAAAAAGCTCCTGAACATCAGTTTATCAGCTGCAGTGTACATGAGCCCTTAAAGTGAGATTAAACTAAAAAATGTAAAAACCGCTGACAGGCAGCTTGTTATGAAAAAAGAGACCCTATTGGTCCCATCTGTCGAAAATGCCTCTTTCTGCTCATCACAACGTACACTGAACATTGCATGCACAGCTCAGCACACATTTACAGCATTGCTCTGTGCCGTGATGATGTGATTCCCCTGCTCATACGTGGGAGTGACATCATCGCAGCCCGGCCATGCAAACATCCAGAGTGAACCCAGAAAAAAGTCTGGGAGATGGGGGAAGCACCTGTGAGCAGTGGGACTGCTGACAGCGACTCGCTGCAGGGCATTGTTTCACAGGTGTGCCTGCCATACTGTACTAACATGCAGAGGACCACACTCCATAGAGGGGCCTTGTTAGAGCCAGTGTGCCTTCACATACAGGAGTACAGGGATAGCATACAGCAGTGAGATACTGGGCTTATACAACATAGAAACACGTGGTAATGGTATGTACAGGGGCGGACTGACAACTCATGGGGCCCCGGGGCAATAGGGGATCATGGGGCCCCTGTGTCCTTGCCCAAACTCAAAAAAGCCTATGAAAAAGGTACCAGGGGCATCTCATGGGGCCCCCTACTGACCCTGGGCCCTCGGGCAGTGCCCGAGTTTCCAAATGGTTAGTCCGCCCCTGGGTATGTACCAGGTACACAGGATGCAGTTGAAGTGGCTCATAATGTAAACTAGGTCTTAAAATATATTACCTGCTTGCGGACCACCAATGTACTGCGGATGGGTAGCCTGTACAGGCACAGTGACGCACCTGTGCTGGCCTGTTTCAGGTACAGGGTCCATGCGCCTCCACCTGCCAACTCCCACTGTGATTGTACACTGCGGGAGTTAGTCAGCAGGTCCCAGCCAATGATTTATGGCCGGGACCTGCTGATCGGCTGTGACCAATCACAACCTAGAATCCTATGTTGACAAACAACACAGGGCTCTGTACAGAGGGAATGATCGCTCTTTTTCTTTTCCCTTTTCAAAGATATCTAGTAAAAAGCAGCACATCATACATACATTACACATTGTTAGACACACATTTAACCCTTTGATTACATGAGATGTTAACCCCTTCCCAGCCAGTGCCAATAGTATAGTGACAGTGTATAGAATTATCACTGATCATTTTATTAATGTCACTGGTGATTTCAGTGGCAGTTAGTCAGTTCCCACGCAGTATCAGTGTCAGATTGCCTTTTGCACTGTCACAGTCCACTATAAGTCGCTAATCACTGCCATTAGTAGTATAAAATAAATAAATAATTAAAGAAATAAATAAAAATTCCAGTTTATACTGTATACCATAGTTTGTAGATGCTATAACGTTCATGCAAAGCAATCAATGTACACATTTGTTTTACCAAAGACGTATCAGAATACATTTTGGCATAAATTTAATTTAAAACTTTTTTTTATTGGATATGTTTTATAACAGAAAGTAAAAAAAAAATGTTTTTTTCCAAATGTTTGGTCTTTTTTCATTTATATAATAAAAAGTACAAAATAAAAGTGGTGATCAAATACAGCCAAAAGAAGGCTCTATTTTTGTGAAAAAATTATATAAATTTCATTTGGGTACAGCGCTGCCTGACTGCAAAATTAGCAGGTAAAGTAGCGCAGTGTAGAATAGAAAAAAAATGGCCTGGTCATGAAAGCAGCAAAACCTTCTGGAGCTCACGTGGCTAAAAAAGGTTCCACATGCTTCAAGTGAACCTCCACTCCCTCCTTTTTCATAACATTGGCATGCTGCATCTACCGCAACATCTACAGCCTTCCATAACAGGGAGGGAAGATTCACAATGGGTTTCAGACGCTTAGGATACTCCATGTCAAATTGGGAAGTGGGACATGGGACCCTGTTGTGAAGGCTCAAGTGAAGGCCTGAACCTTCTGCAAAATCCTATTACATCCATTTACATCCACCCTGCCCAGCTCCAGAAGCATCCTTCTCAATATAGGTTTCTTTTCTGAAAAGAAAAAAAAATGTTGGCAAATCACCACCATGCCCAGAATCCTGCATCTCTTGTGGCATGGTAGAACTGGCTTTACAGCTGTTCCCATTCCAGCTTGTGTAACCAGTCTCTTTTCATGAGTTTATGGCCTGTGTTACACTACAATGGCAATAACCTAATCTTCATTATTTTGCCATCCCTGCCTTTCACCAGTGTGTGGAGTGCAATGTGTCTGTATTGCTGGGCCATGTTAGGTTACACATGACCATGGACAGATGGTCTAGGACACATGGTCAGGGACACTATATTTCCTTCACAATACATTGGGTCAGTCTTATAGTGGTTGGAAAGGATGCAGGACGGGACACATTCCTGGAGCTGGTGGTGAAGCCATGTGCCTTGTCTAGTGATGACATCCTCCAACTTTTATGGCTGGGGGCCAGGCCAAGGGGTAGTTAACTCCACACTATCTTCAGCCAGGCAATGACACTAACCTGCTGGTTGTCATTTGCTTGTAAAAAACCATACATGTACATGATGGTGCAGTAGTTCATAACAGGAGTGGACTGACCATTCGAGCATTCGGGCACTGCCCGAGGGCCCGGGGTCAATAGGGGGCCCCATGAAATGCCCCTGGTACCTTTTATAGGCTTTTTTGGGTGTGCTCTGAGTGTGGGTGAGGACACAGGGGCCCCATGATCCCTTATTGCCCGGGGGCCCCATGAGTTGTCAGTCCACCCCTGGTTCATCATGATGTACCCTGGTTTCCAGGAGTTCCTTTATAAGGCCAAAAGGGTCTGTGGCCATTTTAGGTGGTCATACCCAGCCAGTATTCACCTTGCATATATGCAGCACCTACATCAGCTGCCTGCCAAATGCCTCACCTGTGACACACCACTTGCAACGACGAGGTGAAGGAGGGAGGCATGTAGGTGGGTGGTACTTCCTCCATGTTCCCTTCCTAGTTGGGCGCAAAGTGTGGGTCACATAGGAGGCCTACTCTAGGATATTTTTTTCTGGGCTACGCTAGGCACTTGAGACAGGGTCACTCTCCTACATGTGGGGTACCTTTGCATTAGTGCCATTTCATCAATGCCCTGGGACAAGGCTGAGGCCGCCGTGAGGGAATACTCAATTTTAAGGTGGGTCTCTGACTTTAGAGATGACTGATATACTGTGTACACTTGCACAACAACTGTCCTCCAGTTACTCTCAGATCCCCATGTAAATGTACATCTTCCCACTGTAGATCAGCTGACTGGGGATATCCCTGGTAGTCAGTGATACTCGTTACCATAAGAATCGTTAGCTCAGGTGGCCAAAAGTGATGAGCAAATCAGTTTGAAAAATGAAGGTGAATTGGAGGGAAGGCAAATGATTTTATTCTTCAGAAAATATGTGCAGAGTTGTGTGATTGTTCAAAAAATAGACAAGTGTACAGAGAAATATTCAGGAATAAAACATTTTTTTGATCGCTGACGATCACTGATGGCCAATATCTCATGGATCAGGTGATGGTCAAAACAGATGTTTATGGGCAACTGACAGATGGTCAGCTTTGTGATTGAGAATGTCCACACTAGTGTGTTGCAGCAATGCATAGCGCCCCTTCATACGTACGCATCCCGCTGTGTTCGTATTTTCACGTTAAGGTGCCTTGTGACACAGATGGATTGAATCTGGGCCGGTTCAGCAGGGGTTGCCCCAGATTTGATCCATCTCTGGGCAGGCTGGTAATACTGAGGTTGGTCCATCGATCGACTTCAGCACAACCAACCAGTTGGATTTTTTCCATATATGATTACTGCTAGACATGTGCGGATGAAAAAATGTGTTTTGTTTTCATTTCATTTTGATTCGTTATTTAAATAATTTTGTTTAGTTAAAAGTGAAGTGTGGACCTTTCTGCCCCATTTATACTTACCTAGGTGGATACTGCATCTGTCCCCCACCGGCTCTAAGTCTAGGTTCACACCTATGTGTTTTCCGCTGTGTTTTGCAGAAACATGTTCCAAACAAATGGAACTGAGGAGGTAATTGAGAGGTCTGGGAGGTTACAGAAGAAGAAACAAGGAGATAGTAAGACACAACTTCATGAAAAATTAATTACAGGGCCATTAATGTGGTATTAAAGTATTACTAAACTCACATCAACACAATAAGTCTGTACATGCAGTATAGCATGCTTGTTATACTCACTGTAGAACCTAAGGGGTTAATCCTCTGCATTGTGTAAAAAGGATGTTAGATCCTGACTTCTCTGATCCTCCTCTTCTTTTACTGTCCCCAATCCATCTGCTGATACTACAGAACACTATGAGTCACTCTGCACATGCTCGTTTTAGTGTGTATTGCTAGAAAGTTGTTTTTTTCTTTGGGAGAGTGCATGTGATCAGCACAGGGCCAATCAGCACTGTCCAGACCGAGGGTTAGGGGTCATGCAGCCTCATAGGACAGTCAAAGGCGAATGAAAACTCCTCCTGCAAACTTTAACCAATGCTCTGCTGGACACTGATAGAAGTCACAAGACTGCTCTAACTGCTGATGAGAAAAGGTATTTAGCAGTTTATATTTACTAAAAAAAAACTGCATTTCCATGTTCTGTGTATTGTGGGAGACCAGATATACTGAATGCAAGGTGATGGGTTTAGTAACACTTTAAACTTAAAACCAAACATGTAATATATTGCAGCTTACCAATCATTAGATGTGGTGGCTGCATTAGTTTTCTTCCCCTCTGTTTTCACCTGGTGATGTGGCCAGTAACACACCTCTTCTATTAGAGTGCCCCCGCTCTGGATGAAGGGCAAATTTGGACAGCAGCATTACCATTCTGGGGGAGGGGGGGGGGTTGTTAGATGTACAAGCACATTTAACTACAGTGGGGCAAAAAAGTATTTAGTCAGCCACCAATTGTGCAAGTGCTCCCACTTAAAAAGATGAGAGAGGCCTGTAATTGGCATCATAGGTAGACCTCAACTATGAGAGACAAAATGAGAAAAAAAATCCAGACAATCACATTGGCTGATTTGCAAAGAATTTATTTGCAAATTATGGTGAAAAATAAGTATTTGGTCACCTACAAACAAGCAAGATTTCTGGCTCTCACAGACCTGTACCTTCTTCTTTAAGAGGCTCCTCTGTCCTGCACTCATTACCTGTATCAATGGCACCTGTTTGAACTTGTTATCAGTATAAAAGACACCTGTTCACAACCTCAAACAGTCACACTCCAAACTCCACTATGGTGAAGACCAAAGAGCTGTCAAAGGACACCAGAAACAAAATTGTAGACCTGCACCAGGCTGGGAAGACTGAATCTGCAATAGGAGAAAAGCAGCTTGGTGTGAACAAATCAACTGTGGGAGCAATAATTAGAAAATGGAAGACATACAAGACCACTGATAATCTCCCTCGATCTTGGGCTCCACGCAAGATCTCACCCCGTGGGGTCAAAATGATCACAAGAATGGTGAGCAAAAATCCCAGGACCACACGGGGGGACCTATGAATGACCTGCAGAGAGCTGGGACCAACGTAACAAAGGCTATCATCAGTAACACACTACGCTGCCAGGGACTCAGATCCTGCAGTACCAGATGTGTCCCCCTGCTTAAGCCAGTACATGTCCGGGCCCGTCTGAAGCTTGCTAGAGAGCATTTGGATGATCCAGAAGAGGATTGGGAGGATGTCATATGGTCAGATGAAACCAAAATAGAACTGTTTGGTAGAAACACAACTCACAGAGGAGGAGAGAGAATGCCGAGTTGCATCCAAAGAACACCATACCTACTGTGAAGCATGGGGGTGGCAACATCATGCTTTGGGGCTGTTTCTCCTCAAAGGGACCAGGACGACCGATCCATGTACAGGACAGAATGAATGGGGCCATGTATCAGGAGATTTTGAGTGCAAACCTCCTTCCATCAGCAAGGGCATTGAAGATGAAACGTGGCTGGGTCTTCCAACATGACAATGATCCCAAACATACCACCCGGGCAACGAAGGAGTGGCTTTGTAAGAAGCATTTCAAGGTCCTAGAGTGGCCTAGCTAGTCTCCAGATCTCAACCCCATAGAAAACCTTTGGAGGGAGTTGAAGATCCGTGTTGCCCAACTACAGTCCCAAAACATCACTGCTCTAGAGGAGATCTGCATGGAGGAATGGGCCAACATACCAGCAACAGTGTGTGCCAACCTTGTGAAGACTTACAGGAAACGTTTGACCTCTGTCATTGCCAACAAAGGATATATAACAAAGTATTGAGATGAACTTTTGATATTGACCAAATACTTATTTTCCACCACAATTTGTAAATAAATTCTTTCCAAATCAGCCAATGTGATTGTCTGGATTTTGTTTCTCAATTTGTCTCTCATAGTTGAGGTCTACCTATGATGCCAATTACAGGCCTCTCTCATCTTTTTAAGTGGGAGAACTTGCACAATTGGTGGCTGACTAAATACTTTTTTGCCCCACTGTACACTAACAAATTGAAGTCATACTCCAGCTAATACTTTCTACTCAACAACAGTGTTTTCCTTTTGGGATAAAGGTATCAATAACAGCTGATAATTGGAATCATCCTTGTCAGCAGTAAATGGTTTGTCTCAACACTCGAACCGCATGAAAGACTTAATGGCCAGATCAGATGAAAATAGAAGAAAAAAAAAAGAAAACTAATACAGCCATCACATCTAACAATTAAGCTGTAATATAATAAATGTTTGCTTTTGGGTTTAATACTGCTGTAAGCAGTGGATGTAGATAGATTATTTTTGGAGACTAAGGATATTGTTTAGTGTCACTATACTGGAGCCGAAGAACCAAAAATAATATGTTGTCCAAGATAAGTTTGTTTCAGGCCCAATGCTTTGCAAAGTATTTTATTGCTTTCAATCTATCCAAGTGAATATTGCTAGAATTGGGTAACACATATTCTTGCACATCTATTTACTTATTTTTTCTTTTCCAGAAATACCCCCTTGTTTTTCTAACACATGTTGTAGTATAGGTAAGTTCCATGTACGTACAAATGTTCTAACCTGTTTTCTGTTAGCAGAGTATTACTTGTAGTAATTCTTAGTAGTGACCAGCTGGTGTCAGCAGCTCATTATAAAATCATTCTTGTTCCTTATTCCCGTATATTGTCTGTTAGTATAGTATGTAATGAGGGACCAAAAAAGCCTCTTCCTTTAAGGCAAAGTACATAATTGATGGAGATTTACTAAAACTGGAGCGCTCAGAATCTGGTGGAGCTGTGCATGGTAGCCAATCAGCTTCTAACTTCAGCTTGTTCATTTAAACTTTGGCAATAAAACCTGGAAGCTGATTGGTTTCTGTGCAGAACTGCACTAGAATTTGCACGCTCCAATTTTAGTAAATAACCCCAAATGCCTTCTAAAATTAGGATTTTGTGGACAGTGGAAGGAGACTAGCAATCTTCAACAATATGAGGATTTGTCAGAGCTTTGCCTTCATCAGAATGATCAAAATGGCTTTACTTTTAGGATACCCCCCCTTCCCTATTCAACGTTGTGACCCTGGACGCGTCATCCATTCACAGTTCTGCGAATGTGAAAACTACAAGTACTAACAGCCTTTTCAGATGTCGGCTTGTAGTTCTCAATGAACTATCACAGTGCTGTTGAGCACTCTACTAGTTTATAGATTTTTCCTGTCAGTGTGAAATTGTCTGCTCGTAGGATGTATGGACAGACAGCTTACACTGACAGTCTGCAGGAGACCTGCATGACACCAGAGATCTGCTGATTGTGCAATAGGAAGAAGGGTCAGCTGCACACCGGAGGATAGATGAATATAGTGTGTATTTATTGATCCATAGGACACACAAAACACCAGGACATGAATACAGGACTTGATAATGCGTATCACATGATCTTGTGCTTAATCATAACTAGTGATTATGATTATGATTAAGCACGAGATCATGTGAAACACGTTAACAAGTCCTGTTTTTATATCCTGGTGTTTTGTGTGTCCTATGGATCAATAAATACACACTATATTCATCTATTCTCCGGTGTGCGGCTGACCCTTCTTCCTATTGCATCGTGTGTGGTGGCGAGCCAGAGCCTGCACCTGTTGTGGATTGATCTGGATTGTACGCCTGACCGGTATACCTTTTGTTCTTTGGATTCAGCCCTGCTGATTGTGGGTGCAATGCTTTCCACACTCCTACAAATAAAAAATAGTAAATGCACATTTTTTTTACCAGCTAAATATTTATTTATTTACTTAATTTAAAGTGAACTTATCCCTGAAAGTTACTTTTATGTAAAGGAATTACACTGTTCAAAAAAATGAAAGGAACACCTTGAAAACACATCAGATCTCAATGGGGAAAAATCTCATGCTGGATATCTATACTGAAATGGAAGGGGTAATGTGTTAGGAACGTAAGAATGCCCCATCGTTTGATAGAAATTAAAATGATCATCCTACAGAGGAATTCAAAGACACCCCAAAAATCAAAGTGAAAAAATTATGCAGCAGGCTAGTCCATTTTGCTGAAATTTTATTGCAGCAACTCAAAATTTTACTCAGTAGTTTGTGTGGCCCCCACGTACTTGTATGTATACCTGACAACGTCAGAGCATGCTCCTAATGAGACGATCAATGGTGTCCTGAGGTATTTCCTCCCAGATCTGGACCAGGGCATCACCGAGCTCCTGGACAGTCTGAGGTGCAACTTGGCAGCGTCGGATGGATCAAAACATGATATCCCAGAGGTGTTGTATTGGAAGCGAGCATGGGGGCCATTCAATGGTATCAGTTCCTCATCCTCCAGGAACTGCCTGCATACTCTTGTAATATGAGGCCAGGCATTGTCATGCACCAGGAGGAACCCAGGACCCATTGCACCAGCGTAAGGTCTGACAATGAGTCCAAGGATTTCATCCCGATAGCTAATGTCAGTCAGGGTGCCATTATATAGCCTGTAGAGGTCTGTGCATCCCTCCATGGATATGCCTCCCCAGACCATCACTGACCCACCACCAAAATGATCATGCTGAATGGTGTTACAGGAAGCATAACGTTCTCCATGGCTTCTCCAGACCCTTTCATGTCTGTCACATGTGCTCAGGGTGAACCTGCTCTCATCTGAAAAAAGCACAGGGTGCCAGTGGTGGACCTGCCAATTCTGGTGTTCAATGGCAAATACCAATCGAGTTCTATGGTGCCAGGCAGTGAGCACAGGGCTCACTAGAAGATGTCAGGTCCTCATGCCACCCTCTTGAAGTCTGTTTCTGATTGTTTCCTCAGAGACATTCACACCAGTGGCCTGCTGGAGGTCATTTTGTAGGGCTCTGGCAGTGCTCATCCTTTTCCTCCTTGCACAAAGGAGCAGATACCGGTCCTGCCGATTGGGTTAAGGACCTTCTACGGCCCTGTCCAGCTCTCCCAGAGTACCTGCCTGTCTCCCGGAATCTCCTCTATGCTCTTGAGACTGTGCTGGGAGACACTGCAAACCTTCTGGCAATGGAATGTATTGATGTGCCATCCTGGAGGAGTTGGACTGCCTGTGCAATATCTGTAGGGTCTGGGTATCGTCTCATGCTACCTGTAGTGATACTGACCCTAGCAAAATGTAAAACTAGTAAAAAAAAAGTCAGAAAACGTGAGTAGGGAAAAAAATGTCAGTGGCCTCCACCTGTAAAACCATTCCTGTTTTGGGGGTCGTCTCATTGTTGTCCATCCAGTATACCTGTTGTTAATTTCATTAACACCAAAGCAGCTGAAACTGATTAACAACCCCCTCTGCTTCTTACCTGACCAGATCAATATCACAGGAGTTTAATTGACTTGATGCTAGACTCTGATTAAAAAGTGTTCCTTTAATTTTTTTGACCAGTGTACATCCTCCTATCCTTTACAGCAAAGGAAGCTGCCATGTTAGCCCTGTTTGTTCTGCTGTTGCCCTGGTGTTGCACATGTGATCAGTTATGACACCCGTCATTTGATGGCTTGACAGTTTGGCTGAGAGCACAAGCAATTGTGACAGTTATTACTCATGGCATGCCTACTCAATTAATGGATTGAGTTCAGCTTTAAGGGCTCATTTACCCTTGCTTTGACTTTGGCACACATAAAAGTGCCTACTGCTTCAACATGCTTTTTTATGTGTTTTTATGCTTTTGTGATGCTTCTGTGATCCTTTTTTGAAGCTTTAATGAAGCTTGGCAAATGCCCTGTGTGTGTGCTAATTTTCTATTTGTTTTAAAGGGGCTCTTTAGAACCCCGGCTCAGTACTACCCCCACTCAACCGATCCCCAGCTCATTTTTATCCGTGTTCAGCAAATACCCAGCATACCGGTACCCTCATTCAGCAGATCCCTTGCTCATTAGTACCCCCAGCTCTGCTGATGCCCCATTCAGTAGTTCCCTCAGCTTTGCTGATCCCCCACTTAGTATTAACCCCCCAGCTCTGCTGATCCCCTGCTCAGTAGTAACCCCCAGCTCTGCCAATCCCCTGGTTTGCTGATCCTGCTTTCTCTATGGTCCTTGCTCACTTCCCTGTATATTGCTCCCAAGCTGTGCACCATGTGTAGCATTTGCTAGATTTTCCTGCTCCAGGTCCCCCAGCTCTGCTGATCCTCGGCTGCTCAGTCCTCTTGCTCCAGTCTCCGCTCACCTTTCTCTATAGCGTTCCCATGTTGCAAACCACATTTGCCACCTACCAGTCTGCTCCAGTCCAGACCCCGCTACATGCGTGCTAGCACACCCCTTAGGGTGTGCATCGACACAATCCCATGACCTGTGAACAGTTGAGGTATCATGATCAATTACAGTGATCACATGATTACAATGTAAACAAAACAGTCATGACTGCTTGCTTACTGTTGTGAAGCTGTGATTGGCCCACAGCTATCACATGGTACCTGACACCCTGTACCATGTGATTAGCTGTAGCCAATCACAGCATGTCAACTACATTTATAAAAGACACAGAGCACAGACTCTACTGGCACTACGATCAACTACACGTCAAGTTGAAAAAACTGTTGGGACAGTTCCTCCTGTAGCTGGTATAAGACATGATTGCCCCTGTTAAATGGAGAATTAGGTGTCCCAGCCAGGATAGGAGGAGCAGCAAACCAGCTGCTCTTACCAACATGCCTCTGTGAATGTGCACATTGCCTACGGAGCAGCATCAATCCAATCTTTGTCATTTTGAATCTTCTTCTATGTGTGCATTGTGAGCCATCATGAGAGTCTCTATAAACAGAATCATTTATGTGATGATTACCACATTTCCATATGTGTTAATGCTTGAAAATAATTAGAGTGATCATGCTGTGGTCCATAAACTCAAATTACGGTAATTAGTCACTCATTTATACATCCATTTTAGCATGAAATATTTTTTCATTTCCGTATGCAAATTTAGCATTGAAAGTAAATGGTACAATTGGGCTTTTATTAGAATGGCTCCCCTTTCCCCCTTGCAGTGTCATTGCTGTGTTTTTACTGTTTAATCTAAATAGTTAAAATGGCTCTAAACTCTGGTTTTAAAAAAATGTATTCAAGTATGTATTCTTAACTTAAAAAAAACACCTTCTATTGCTCTCAACCTCCGCTGTGATCTGACTTTCTGTTAGAGGGTGACTATGTTCATTCTCCATGGTCCCACTGTATGTAGTAATGTAGCCACACTCTTTTGCTCACTCCCAAGATAGGGTATGAGCCAGGGGCGGACTGACCATTCGAGCACTCGGACACTGCCAGAGGGCCCAGGGTCAGTAGGGGGCCCCATGAAATGCTCTTGGTACCTTTTTATAGGCTTTTTTGGAGGGCTGTAAAAGCAATCATTTCTCCTTCTCTCTGACAACATTCTTGCAGCCATTGAGAAATACTGTGAGAGCTGTGATTGGTCACAGCTTGTCACATGGTACAAGTCTGTTGTGAATAGTTTTGTACCATGTGATCTCTGTGATCATTCACAGATTTCACAGGTAGTAAGCAATGATGTCAGAAGTGTCATCTTGCTTACACCTATTCATGTGATCACTGATTGGCCAATCAGTGATCACATGATTGGGATTTCACTTCAGTCGTCACTTGTCCAATCAGTGATCACATGATCAGGACTTCACACAGAGGTCCCGTACAGCGATCGGTGTTCCGCTGTGGCACCGGATCACGATACCGCAAGCTCCCGGGGAGCATGCATAATCCAAAATGGCGGGTGCAGTTTATGAACGGCAACTTGCCCCTGCACTGGAGCTGTATATTAACGGCCGGACGGGAAGTGGTTAAGGGCCAGTTCACACAAAGAAAGGCTGAAAGAGACAGTTTGCCTGATTTGCATCAGTACACCTAGAACTATTAAACAGAAGAGTAAAGCAAATTGACACCATATTGTTAGTTTGGTTCTGGGTGTGCCAAACTAGAATGTTGATCTTTAATCACTTCCACACCGCCCTATAGCAGAAATACTTCTACAGGGCGGCACAGGTGCACAAAATCACATATATATACCCGTTCATGGCCTCGGCTGTCAATTATTCCGGCACCCGGCGATTTCCGCGTATGTAAACAATATAGATCTCTCCCGTCAGCTCCTGCACACTGCCTTGTATGGCTCTACATAGCAGAGCCATACAAAGCAGTGTGCTTACACTAAAGCACACACACAACCCACATAATAAAACAGCACACAGCTAACCCTTTGATCACTCCACATGTTAACCCCATCTTGCCCAGTGCCATTCGTAGAGTGTCACTGCTTTTTTATTAGCACTGATCACTGTATTGGTGTCAATGGGGATGTCAGTGACACCAAGTCCGTTCCCTCCAGTGTCAGAATGCCCACTGCAGTCCTGCTAGAAGTCACTGATCGCCATTACTAGTAAAAAAATTAATAAAAAAAAATTCCAGTATATGTTCTGCCATTTGTAAATGCTATAACTTTCACGTAAACCAATTAATTTACACGTATTAGGATTTTTTTTTTTAGCAAAGACATGTAGCAGAATACATTTTGACCTAAATTTATTATGAAATTAGATTTTTTTAATTTTTTACTGGATATGTTTAATAGCAAAAAGTCAAAAATAAACTTTTTTTCAAAATAGTTTTTTTGTTTATAGCGCAAAAAATAATAATAAAAAAAAAAAAAATGCAGAGGCGATTAAATACCACTGAAAGAAAACTCTATTTGTGGGAAAAAAAGGACGTAAATTTAATTTAGGTGCTCGTATTTCCTACAGAATGCATTCATGTGGGATTTCAGGCCCCCAGATATCCCAGGAGGCAATGATGTCAGTCCTCACTTGACTCCCATACTGCTCACCTCAGGATAGGGCCTCTTCAGGTCAGTCTTCATTTGGCTCCCATACTGCTCACCTCAGGACAGGGCCTCTTCAGGTCAGTCTTCACTTGGCTCCCATACTATTCACCTCAGGACAGAGCCTCTTCGGGTGTCTCCAATATCTCTCACCTCAGGACAGGGCCTCTTCAGGCCAGTCTTCACTTGGCTCCCATACTGCTCACCTCAGGACAGGGCCTCTTCAGGAGCCAGTCCTCACCTTAGGACAGGGTCTCTTCAGGTGTCAGTGGTCACTTGGCTCCCATACTGCTCACCTCAGGACAGGGCCTCTTCGGGTGTCAGTCGTCAATCTGCTCCAATATCTCTCACCTCAGGACAGGGCCTCTTCAGGAGCCAGTCCTCACCTCAGGACAGGGCCTCTTCAGGTGTCAGTCGTCACTTGGCTCCCAAACTGCTCACCTCAGGACAGAGCCTCTTCAGGTGTCAGTCCTCATTTGGCTCTCATACTGTTCACCTCAGGACACAGCCTTAGTGAGGTATTTCCTACAGTTCTTTGAACTGCTTTCTCTCACCATGAGGTTATAATCTTATTCTGGGGGAATTTGACTAAAAATACTGCGCTTCTCAAAGCTTAGGGGACACCGCTTAGTGATTACATGGCAATCCCTGTCATTTCTCTCTTCAGAACATAAAATGTCCGCTCCTCTTCCAGCCACCATCTAGCTCTCTTTCTCAAACACTGTTTTTCTCCTGATGGGATTAGAGGTCACCAACCATCAGAGAGAGCAGCCAGTTGCCATACACTGTCTAAGGGAGAAAACCATTACCCCTTAACCAATTTCCCGCTGCCCCTTTAAGTGTGTCTTAATGCTGGGAGGTGTAGTCTTAATTTTGTGATTGGCCAACTCAATTATTTCAATGGGCTGCCCTCCCCACAGGAATAGAGAAAGAAGCCCTGGACTCTGACACACTGCCTGGAATTGCATGGTGCTCTGCTGGCACTATGCGATTTTGTGCATGTGAAAACTCAAGGGTTTTGCCAATGTATGGAGGTGCCATTAAGAATGAATGGCATCTCCGTGTGTCTGCTAAACTGTCTTGTGTTTCTCACACAGGATTGTGCGCATGTTGCTCAAACACAACAGTGTGACACAGTTCTGACACTGGGGGGGGGGGGGGGGGGGGGGGGGGGGGGGGGGGGGGGGGGGGGGGGGGGGGGGGGGAGAACTGACTTTGTGTCCCTGACATCCCCAGTGACACAAATACAGTGATCAGTGCTAATAAAAAGCACTGACACTGCACTAATGGCACTGGGCAGGAAGGGGTTAACGTAGGGCGATCAAAGGATTAATTGTGTGCCGCTTTCCTATTGGGACTGTGTGTGCTATGCACAGCCATACAAAGCAGTGTGCAGGAGCTGACAGGAGAGATCTGTATTGTTTACATGCAGGTCTCTCCCCCATCGGAAATCCTCGCAGATTACCAGGTGCCGGGACCCTGGCTGTGAATGGCACGCATGCGCCCCCCCCCCCCCCCACCTGGAACTGCACAATCCTGTGTATATACATATGATTTTGTGCACCCGTGCAAACCTGTTGCAGTATTTCTGCTATAGGGCAGCGTGGAAGCAGTAAGCTTGGCGTCTTCGTTGTCTTGTAAATCGTTCTGACTTATTGGCACCATTACAGCAAGAAACAAATGATGAAGTGAAGCTTTAACAAGCCTGGAGCCAGCAAACATATAAGTTACAATATACTAAAGATACCAACTAGAGATGTGCATGACTGAAAAATAAGTTTGGTTTGGAATTAGTTTGTTAAAAGTGGAGTTCCAGTGAAAATTTAAAAAAAATGAGTCAGAAGCTACAAAAACTACAGCTGCCGACTTTTAAAAATTGGATACTTCCCTATTTCTCGATTGCGCGGTGTGTGTCCCCCGCAGGCGGTTTCAATAGCCGTCCTGTGTTCCAGGCACCGGCATATTTAGTGTGGGCACCTGGCTGTGACAGCTTGTGGCGTCACAGTCGGGTGCCCTCTGCACGTTTGACAAGTGCTTTGTGAATGGTCCCATAGTATTCTGTCCAAGAAGACTACGGGGAGAGAGGGGGAAGGACAACTTTCACTTCTGATCGCAGCGGAAGTGGGAGTGGGTACCTGTCAATTTTGGGTACCCACTCCCCAAAAGGTACCAATCCTTAAAACGGGGAGTGGGGGGACTAGTCCTTAAAGCAGAACTTCCCCTTTTGGGTGGAGCTCCACTTTAAGTTAGAATGATTAGTTTCCAAAAATTGTTTCGTAGATTTGTTATTTTCAAATAGATTTGAAATTCGAATTTTAGAAAACGGCTATATGCATTCTATTTTGTTCTATTTTGTTCTACTCTATTCACAGCCTAAGTAGAAATCATTTTTTTTCACTTTTATACCTTACTGTATTTATTGCAATGCTTCCATTTCAAATTAAAATTCATTTTCAATTTTGGATAATTTGTTTTGTTATAATTTATTTTGGTTTTGTTGAAATTTGTTACTCTTGTGATTCGAACATTCGGATACATCTGAATCTTCAAAGAACGAAAACTTCATTCCAATTTTGCTTCATAATGAAATGAATCGCACATGACTGATAAGAACACCTAACAAGGATATTTTATGAAGCCTACAGGAGGTTACTTAGCAGGCATGTTTTTTTAATACTACATACTATGTGTTTTTCTGAAATGCAGAACCTTGGCATAGAAAAGATTTTTGTACATATTTACAATCATTTACAGCTATCTCATAATTGCAATGAGTAGCTGCTTCAAGGATCCTCAGATAACAGTGTTTATTTTGGTTCAGGTTTATATTCCAACATACCTCAGCATCTATTTAGTTTATGGTACAAGCCAACTTTCAATTAAATGTCCCCCTTATCACTGCCCCAGATTAATATTAGATGGCAGCTGCAGACTTCTAACTATTCATCATTTTCACAGGGCCCAGGGGCAGACTGACAACTCATGGGGTCCCCGGGCAATAGGGGATCATGGGGCCCCTGTGACCTTGCCCAAACTCAAAAAAGCCTATGAAAAAGGTACCAGGGGCATCTCATGGGGCCCCCTACTGACCCTGGGCCCTCGAGCAGTGCCTCAAGTTTCCAAATGGTCAGTCCGCCCCTGACAGGGCCAGTAATGGTTTACCAGGATGATGGCACAGTACTCCTCCATTGAGTTAAATGGATTCTATGGGGTTTATTTACTAAAACTGGAGAGTGCAAAATCTGGTGCAGCTCTGCGTAGAACCCAATCAGCTTACTGTCAAAGTTTAATTGAACAATCTAAAATTAGAAGTTGATTGGCTGTCATGTACATGAGTGATCCAGTTTTAGTAAATCTCCCCCCATATGTCCTTGGACTGAAGAAACCGCTGGGATTTAAACAGCTAAACTGATAAGACCCTCTCTTTTAATACAATCAGTTTTTATTTAAGAAGAAAATAGATGTTAACGTCAAAAGAAAAAGCTTTAGAGAAAATGTCAGAGATGTGTTGAATATAACATTATTTATACAAGAGTAGTGTTGAAAGCAGTGCTATAAAGGAATCAATGTTAATCCAAAAAGAATCAATACACTAGTATTTAGTCACTGGAGTATCATGGTTTAATAGTGGCCACACATGTATTATAATCAACTGATCATTCAAATTTGACTAAAGTGATCAAAAATTGAATTAAAATAAACAAAAAACCCCCAAAACCCCACACCCTCCAAATCGATGGATTAAAGTGTACCTATATGCTTATACAGCCTTCCTCATAGCATTGTATGTCATAAGGAAGGCTGTATAGGCTGAAACACGTTGCATTTTTGATGCTGTGAAATTTTACATTTAGCCAATAAAAAGGATTTTCTTATGAAAGAGTACAGAGTGGCTGGCTGTATACATTATGGACTTATGCTTTGGGAGATGAAACACCCTGTCCAGAGCACTGGTCTCCAGTTTCTGAATTATTAATATAGCAGTACAG